AGCGCCTATAATAACCGGTAAGCCCAAGAAAACCCCTGAGAGCCTTTACAGTAGTGGGCTTGGGCCATTTTTGGATGGCATCTATCTTTTCTGGGCCTGCCATGACCCGCCCTGCAGCAACCACATGGCCTAAGTATCGAATCTGTCTTTGTCGAAAGGAGCACTTTGTCAATTTGGCATGCAATTGGTGCTCTCTCAGAATTGTGAGGGTAAGTTTCAGATGTTTCATATGGGTGCCCCAATCCTTGTTGTAAACCAAGATGTCATCGAAAAATACCCCAATAAATTGCCCTAGGAAAGGCCTAAAGATGTCATTCATGAGGGCCTGAAAGGTGGAGGGGGCGTTGGTAAGACCAAACGGCATAACCAGAAACTCATAATGGCCATTGTGGGTCCTAAAGGCTGTCTTGTCGATATCAGTCTGGTGAACCCGGATCTGATGATACCCGGACCGCAAGTCCAGTTTGGAGAACACTTGTGCTTCCCCTAACTCGTCTAGCAGTTCATCAATGAGGGGTATTGGGAACTTGTCCTTCACTGTAATCTGATTCAAGGCCCGATAATCTACGCAAAACCGCCAACTACCATCCTTCTTCTTCACTAGGAGTACGGGGGATGAAAACGGGCTGGTGTTGGTCTGTATATGCCCCTTGTCCATTAGCTCTTTTACTGCCTTCTCAATTTCCAGCTTTTGGAAATAAGGGTATCTATATGGCCTCACATTGGCTGGTTTGGAATCTGGTAAGAGGGGTATCTAATGGTCATGGGCCCGGGGTGGAGGTAACTAGTTCGGTTCCTTGAATATGTCACCAAACTGATCAAGGATCGATCTTAGGGTCTGGTGTTGGGCTTCAATGGGTTGGTCACAGTCCTGATTGTTTAAAATTGGAACTGTGGGACGAATGCCTAAGTGCATAAACAAGGGTTGTCCAGTATCCTTGGAGGCCCGTATTATAGAGGCTAAAGTGCCACACCATTTGCAAATGGCAGGTCTGTCCATTTTGGCAAAAATCCATTGTCATTCTAGCCCAATCACACAGTGCAGGACCTAGGCCACGTAACCAATGGATTCCCAAAATAATATCAGCCCTCGAGAATTCCAATGGGTGGAGACCTACCACGAAATTATGGCCCTGTACGAGGATCCTTTCCTTCTTACATACACCATCACATAACATCTGATTCCCATTAGCCACATGGATTGAAAAGAGAGGAGTGGRGTGTATAGTCATACCTAGTTGCTTTGCCAAACGGCAAGTGATGAAATTCAAAGTAGATCCACTGTCAATCAAAACCATCACAGATCGGCCAACAATTCTTCCTTCTACTCGCATGGACTGAAGAGGGTTGAGGCCCATGAGAGCGTGTAGAGAGATCTCGGCTCCAACAGGTTCTGGTTCGCCTGATATCAGCTCACAGTCTTCGATGTGCTCTGGTTCTGTCCCCTCCGGTTGTCCCTATGTTTGAAGGAGAAATACTCGCTGAACCCGGCACTTATGGCCCGGCCCAAACTTATCATCACAGTTGTAACAGAGGCCCTTCTCGTGTCGGGCCTGCATCTCAGCTCACGAGAGGCACTTGAAAGGCACAGTGGGCCTGGGCAAGATGGGCTTCTGAGAATCCCCAACTTGTTTCTGGGGTTGCTGTTCGGCCCGCTGGAGAGCCCTCACATTCGGATAGGATGGCTTGTTGGTCCTGCGCATGCTATCAATCTTCTCTTCTTGCAAGCGAGCCATACCCACCGCCGCCATGACTGTCGCTAGTCGAAGAGATCTCACTTCCAAGCGGATGTCTTCTCTGAGACCTCCCACAAAACACCCAACCAAGGCCTTCTCCGACCATCCATGTACTCTGGTCGCCATTCTTTCGAACTCGAGCTGGTAGTCTGCTACTGTCCCAGTCTGTTTTAGTCGAGTGGGGAATTCGTCGTAATCCACGAACGCCGTCGGCCCAAAACGGATGCACAGAGCTTCCGTGAACTCCGCCCAAGTTATCTAAGGATGGGTTTGTCGATACCACTGGAGCCAGAGAATAGCGTCTCCTTCTAGGTGAATGGAGGCGATGGCGACGCGCTGGTGTGCAGGGGTTTCATGATACTCGAAGAATCTCTCTGCTCTAAAGATCAATGGAATGGAATCTCCACCGGAATAGTTTGGAAAATTGATTTTAGTAACCTTTCCGGCGGGATAACCCCCGGTTCCCTGGCTACCGGAAACAGAGGCGTCGGCCCCTATTGGCTGACTGGTCTCGCCGAACTGTTGTTGGGAAGCGAGGTTAGAGATGACCACCTTGAGATCCCTGAGTTCGTTCAGTACTTGGTGGAACCCAATCTCAAGTTGGTCGACTCT